CTTATTTTCAGACATTTGAGGTAAAATTGGCAGGATGGCAGGGTTCTGAGATTTTAAGGATAAGTGTGGTGTACTTGCGGCTCAGAGAGTCTCCTATCAGCAAGGAAGCCCAATAGATCTATTTTAAATCCAAATCACGACAACACACAGCAAGGTGATGAAAACCCTGACACCCTCAAATTGCCCTGTCACTCATCAGGGTCCCTAAAATGTGAACAACTTACAGGCAAAAAAACCTGTAAGCTTAAATATATAGACTGTTGAAAGTTAAGCACTACTGGCATGGTTAAGCAATACTCCCATAAGCCACAGAGCCAACTCAATCTACTCTGGACCAACCACATCTATATATCTGTAGAGCTTTGAATGTTTGGCAAAATCTCTAGTCTTTTCTTATTTATCACGTACATCCTTTCTTCCACCGATCTTTGGATGCCAACTATATCCTATACTGTTTTTGTTCATAACTTTTGCTAGTGTTTCTCTGTGTTCTGGCCACCACTTGTAATGTATATGTGGATCTCCCCATCTGGACCCCATCTGCCTCAATTGCTTGACTCGAGATTAAATTCTCATGATAAACCCAAAACAGCACATCAAGTAAAATTTTATGTAAAAATAAAGTGATAAATTTAGTACATTGTGCTACAGTATTTCTTTATTCATCAGTTTATTAAATGTTCTTTTGAAGGAAAAAGGGATTTCTCAATGGCATCTCTATTAAAAATTGACACAAACAAACAGGACTCAAAAAGCAGAATTGGAAAAAAAAACTGCACATTTAGAGTCAGACATGATCACAAAAGCAGCACATGGTCAAAAGGTTAAAGAAGCATGACTGTGCATCGACCTCAATTGACTGAAGTGAAAGAGGCATTAAACAAAAAAAAAGCAGTAAATAAAGTTTGAAGAGGTGTTCGGTAGAGATAATGGAACATAAAAACTGATATTGGATTTATAATCCTCAAAATAAATGTGTGCAAGCTTAACTATGTATCTATCTATCCATCCATAATATATATATATATATTACATTTTTGAATCTTTGAAAGAAGTATGTAAAAAGCATTAAATAAAGTTCAGTGTTGTAATGTAACAAATTAAAAATACACATTTATGAAAACTTTGTACTTGGCTTGAGTATTGATGTTTCATTTTACTTTTAATTTGCTATATTTTGTTTGGAAAATGTGTACTTTTAGAGCTAGGAATTAAGTTCCAAGAGTTCCTTAGAGTTAAGTTAAGAATACTCTAGTAAAAAAATTACAGGATACTTTTATACTTTTACTTGAGTAGAATTCTAAGCAATTACTTTAGCTTTTACTCTAGTATTCTAAACTGTACTTTTACTTAAGAACCTCTTAACGGTGCTTCTGTGAGAGTTTGAGTAGAAAGATACACTCACCCACTGGTGTGTCCTCGTAGATTAGCAGGTATGACTGGAAGAAGTAATTCTGGAAACGAGGAGGCTGATTAGCAGAAGCTGAGGAGAGACAGACAGAGGTATTTGTTGAACATATTTGCTGTAATAACAAAAACAGAATAGCATTAAATGACATAAAATACAATCCATGAGGAGCTTTGTCCAATCAGAGAGAGAGAAAGGGCATGCATATGAAGCGTCATTAAAATATTCACAAGTTAATGTGTTTACTGCACTATTTAAGTTTTTTTTTTCACAACCATATTAATAGAAATACTTAATGCCATTTATACTGAAAGCATAAATACTGCAACTCCTGAAAAATCCACCCATTATAGATTTAGTTATCACATCATTCTGAATAGCATGATACAAATTTCATCAGTCAGCAGGTGTGTGCTCCACCTACTGGCAGCAGGAGTTTATGCAGTATACAGCTGATTTTAATTTGGAAGTAACAGAAGAAGAAACTAAGAAAATTAACACGTTCAGCTAGTAACCATTTTGCTAGTATTTGAAAAAAATTACTTTTCATCAGCCTTCTTTCAGACTTTTGGATGAAAGTGTGCATTGGAAAACACACACATTCATTAAAAGAGCATAGAAACTCTATTGGACTAATGCTTCTAATGCTTCTGCCTTGGCTTGAATATAGTCAATGTTTACATTTTAATGTAACTTTATATTACCAAACAAAATAAATAGCTCCTTATTTTTAAATGCTGAGATCAAAAGTCAATTTCTCACACCTTTTGACATGTCTACACCTCCTTGTGTGCACTTGTGAGGTATGTTTCCAGTCTGTGCTCTTGCTCAAGCTGTTTGTCATGAAGATCATGAGAGCTTTGAACTTGTACTTGTGGCCCACAGAGACATCATATACTATAGAAAGAGCTTTTCCATGATGGTGCGTGTGTGTGTGTGTGCGTGCGTGTGCGTGTGTGTGTATATGGGTGCTCTGGCATGTGTATTTGTGTGTTTGAAGTGCTAGAAACTGATGGAACCTCTTTGAAATTTAAAAGAATGAACCAGACAGTGAGAGAAATGGAGACATGCCGAGCAAGAAACAAGAAACCATCCACATGCGTATCCAATGTGCACTAACTAGAACCAATCTGGAGCAGCAGATCAGTGCGTGTTAATTACAGGTCCACTACAGAATGGCAACAGAGGTAAAAATGAGTTGTGTGACTAACTGGATCAGAGAACCCGGTCTGAGCCAATGAAAGAATTCCTGCCAAAAGTAAACCCAGTTGCAGCTGTCAAGGTTCCTCTCCAGATATTTACACTATAAAGAAAATTAGTAGCGTTTTATGTTGATTGGTTAAACAAAATACATTTAAAATAAAACTGCATTGAAAATACTACTGAAATATATATTTATGTGTATTTTGTCTATTCACTTTCAACACCATCTTAATTATGAGGTAGAGAAAGAAAATTTTCAGTTACATTTTCTGACATTGTAAACGTTCTCAAAGACCTGTTCTTGAGAATGGTGTAATGCATATCCGTGATCAAGAAAAATGCTTTGCTTCAGCTTCAGTTCTGCCTCTCACACACTGCAGACCAGCTTTGATTGCTCTGTTTTACTGTTGTCACATTGACTGAGTTTTTTGAGTGAACGGATCAGGCAAAAATTCACATTTTATCAGATCTTCTCACAGAGATCTTCATTTTTTTATAAATATCTCCTTTCCTCCATCTCTTCCACTTTAGCATTATAAAATGGGAGCTTCATAAAAAATATAGATTTATTTGTTTTTCACCTTTTTTATGTATAAGGTTCAATAATATACTTTGTCTTTGTTGAAACATATTCAAAAAATCACGTTACTGGACAATTCTTTGATTCAGGCATTCACCCAACCACAAATATAAATTCACTATATTTAATCTTGAAGCTTTATCAGGAACAAATTGCTAATAACAAGTTGGAGCCCCCGTTGCCTTCAGAACTGACTGAAACCTTGATAGCATAGATGCAACAAGGCCCTCAAAGAGTTTGTCTAAATGCCTAAATTCATTTATGATGATTATCATTCATGGCCAGCAGGTCAATATATAATTGCAATTCTTTGCATAAACCAATACACAATCCCTCAGTTTGTAATACATATTAAATTTTAAAATGGTGATCCAATTCAACTACTATATTCTTCACATATATAATATGGCTTGTTTCTGACTGATATTTGACGTTCTCTTTTGGCTGTCATTTTACAAATATAAAACAATACACGAAACGTATAACATTCATTAATCAATAGGTCTTTAAAACTGTCCTCTAAATCATCTTGTTTTGATAAAAATACCCATTGACAATGTTTAGGTCTTTTCATGTTCTTGAGAGAACATGACAGTCACGGTCACTATAAATGACAAAATGTTCATGTGAACTTTCTTCTAAACTTACTTTCTTGGTCCCGAAAAAAAGCCAATCATGAAGAGCTAATAACCACAAGAGAACAGCTCTCAAGAGACCTATGAGAGACAGAAAGGAGCCAGGCAGATTCATGAAGATGGAGAGTGTAAATGATTGAGAGAGCTTCGGTGAAGGAAAAGGACGTCATGCAGCAGGTAGAGGAAGGTGAAAGCAGTGAATTATAAACTCCCGTTGGCTGATGTTAAGTACTAGTGACACTGTGTTGGTAAATGTGCCATCACTGATAACAGGTGCCCGACACACATACAAATACCAAGACAAATAGAGAGAAATGATGGACAGGCCTGAGAGAACCGTGATGGAATGAGATGTCAAAGAAAAGCCTGGACTTGCGGACTGATAGAAGGACAACAAGAAGGTAATGAGTGCTGGCTGATAAATGAGAGAAACATGAGGTTGACTTAAGACGGACTTTAGTCAGAACAATCAAAGCTTTAATCAGAAAGTCTGGTCAACATGAAGCGGGGACTTGGGATATGTGGAATGTTACACCATTGGGCTCATGCATATTAATTAGCATGACATAATACTGCTCTATAAATGAATATTCATGAGCGAAACCACTGACATATAAAACATGCTCTTTTCTATTGACGGCTCATCTTGATTAGAGATTGGAACATTTATATGAACTTAATCCGCAATGTCAATTGAATGAAATGCTGAATTAACAGTTTGCCCAAAACATCTTATGTATCCTGTAGCTCAAACAATGAGCATGGTACTTAAAAACTCAAAGATTGTAGAGTAAAACCCAATGGAACATTTGCATTCTTAGACTGCCTGCAATATTACTTTGGAAATGCTAGTGAGCAATTCTTACATGGTGAATTCCAGTGAGGTTAACTTGTTCGCTTGTGTTGTTATTTCTTGTCGTAGACATTATAAACTGTACTCAGGTGTCTAAAATAACAGAACAGCTCTAAATAGCTGAAAGAAATTGTATAGTTTCTGTAAGAATACACTCTTTAGAATTTTTTTTTACGGCCAACTAAAATGTAAATGTTTGGAATAAAAGCCCCAACTATCTTTACATTTTATGTACATTACACTACATTATATTTATGCATCTGGCAGACACTTTATCCAAAGCAACTTGCACTTCGAAGGAATACATTTTTTTGTCAGTTCTTGCTTGCCCTGGGATTTTAACCCATGAGCTTTGCGTTATTTGCACAATGCTCTAAGAACTGAGCCACATGCAGGAAAGTTTTAATGCATTCAATTCAACTGTGTATTTCTGAATCGGAGAAAGCTAGTTGAAAACTAGTCAAAACTACTGAGTTGGCTCTAAAAAATCTTGAATGATCTTCAGTAGTGTGTATAGGTTGTATTTCTTCTCATTTCGATGCTTAATTTCCCATGAACTTGCCTGGCCAAAATGCCTTGCCTTGAGTGACCTGAAGTGATCGAATTCGAATTTCTAGCAGTCAACACTTAAATGTCCTAATATTTTTGCTGCAATCTGGCCTGAAGGAATATAAATTGGCATACATGTAGGGTAAAGAGGTATAATCTGACCTTGGCTCCTTTCACAGATATATTCTAAATTAGACGAAAACCACATGAAACCTGTTGTACCAAGGACTGGTCAAATTACCTGTGCAAGGTTTGTATATCCGTACTTCTTACCCATGGAGAGCTGTGATATACCAGCAGACCCAATGGTTCTAATTGGGTAATACTGCTCTTTGAGCTTTTAATGCTTTTACAAAAGTAGCTCACATGGGTACTGTAATGGTGTGTAAGATTACCTTCAGAAAGTGTTTGTAACAGCACCAAGGAGTGAAGCAACTTGACCAGAGTCATCTTGCCACCCAAACCTTCAAACCACGACCTCTCCAACCTGCAAAACACAGCAAATATAAGACCGCAGCCCCACTACAATATACTTCATTAAAAAGTCTTTAGCAATAATGCCATCATGACAGGGTCATCTATACCTGCAACGATAACCTCTCTAAATAATTTAGGCTTCATGTTTATAGTTGTTAAGTCTCCAGGTGAACTTCATTACAAATTGCCTGATGTCAACATGTGATATGTAAATACAGTGCCTGCCAGGTCTGAGATAAACTGTTACACCATCACAACAAAATCACAACATTTTACGTTAGCACAGCTTCAGAAATAGCAAAGATTTCTTTAAAGTGTACTGAAAACTAATTAAATTGCAAACAAAATGTAAAGAGGTGAAAGGACAGGAGTATACAAGCCACATTGTCTTCAATTACTAAAGCTTTCTTTAAACAAGAAATTGTGACTGTTGATTTCTCATATACCCCTCACAAATGGCTCATGTCACTCTAGAATAGCAGGTTTCATTATATTGCGCTTCTTTTTTACTTCACACCTTAACACCTGGTCACTTAACAAAAAAATGCCAACTACATCACCAGAGGACGAAGGTCTAAATAATACTTTCTAAGCCTCTCACAATAGCACCATCAGTTAAGCTTTCAGGAAGTTATATTTATTCCTTGCTTTTACCATGTTCTCGTTGTCAGTGTTTCATTTTAGTGTGCTTTTTAATCTATTCAAATTTACATAAATGAGCGAGGAGAAGGGATGAAGTGTTGTGCTCTTGCATGTGTGTTTATTTTCAAGTTCATTGTATTGTAAAAGAATCTATATCAGATCCTGTGTACACAAAGTATTATATTATATTTATATTATTGTGTATAACACATTTGCAGCTTTGTCCATACACTAAGTTTTAATCCATGCAGGTCTTTATAAGAGAACCCAGGTCATAAAGGTTTAAAACTCAATAATAGTACAGCTGATTTTACATCATTATATTGTAAATAATGATGTAGCACAGATCATACTCTTTATTAAAATAATCAGAAATAAATATAAATATACAAAGCTTTGCCCTCTAGTGGGCTTTATGTTCAATTTTTTTTAAATATCAGCTTCATTTCCCAATGAGATTTTTAACATTTTAATGCTGACAAAACTACTTTCGTAAAGCTTATGTTCTCATTTGCGTTCACACCCTTACTTTCAACAGTTTACTCTATTCCCAAAGAATGAATTGCTCCTATATTTAATCTCACTAGTCCCCCTCCCCTCTCCTCTCCCTCTCTTTCTTTCTATTTCCATCCAATCTTCTCAGAGGAAAACATAAATAAATATACATGAGATAAGTGTCTGAGTGAGAGGAGTGAAATGATATTTACAAGGGAGCAGATGTGATTAGCAACTTAATTACAGCAACTGTAAGGTCGAAATTAATGATGTATAATCATGAGGCATAACCTCAGTTTAATTAGGCTAATTACTGCATTGGGATTGGCTGAGTTTTGTTTATTTTGCTGGTATTTACAGTTACTACAGCCATGCTAAAAAATCTCCAGAGGGAGGAAGTAAACTGATCAAACAGATGTTTATTTGAGCATTTTAATATTAAACATTGCAATGAGAAATTCCTAGTAAAAGTTCTATCGAGTAATAGATCAAATGATGGGGGGGGGGCATTTATAATGAATGTAATTCCTATAAACACTGCAAAACGGAGTCAGTATTAATGATTCTTAAGGGTATCTGCAACAAGTCTTGAATCAGCATTCAGACTACCCAATCAAATCTGAACACAACACTTTAGTGCCATTTTCAGACTAGTTAGTTGACTCTGAAATCAATGGGCAGGCTTGGGTGTGAAAGTGGATCTCAAGCTACCTTCTCAGTGTCCATGATCGATTCATTATTCAGAGGATCTGCCTCACCCATGGTACATCTATCTGTCTTAGGACTCAAAATTCCTTTTGTACGTGTTATCACTGGTGCTAGCTTACAGGTTTGTGCAGTAGCAGTACTATGTAAATGCATAATCTAGGCCAAAAATAAAACCTATATAATGTGATGAAATAATATTTTGTTTAGCATAGCAATCATATGTTATTAATCAGAGTATAGCAATCAGAGTTTCACTTGGAAAGAAACAAAATCGGATGCAAAAGAGAAAGTGAGAGAGCAGACATCAGTATCGAAAAATATATAATAAAAGATTAGCTAGATTTTTACCAACTATCCCGTTTCTTATTCTGGAAAAGAGTTGTCAAAGGTGGAGGTGAACCTATCCAGTATAACAAAAAAAAAACATCTCATATGTTTTGCGAACTATTGAATATATTTTGGAATACCTATGAATGTAAAATACCACAAAGTAAAAATGAATGTTATCATTAAGGTACAAAACTAGCAAATTAGACTTGTGTTGTTTATATAAAATGTTTATTGAGACAAAAATGCTTAAATGCTATTATAAAAATTACATTCTTCTCAAGGGATGACTATTATGTACCAATTGGTAAATATGTGCTAAAACACTGAATACAAATTGATACAAAAAGTATATAAAAAGCACTATAATAAAAAATAGATAATAGTGGCAAAGAATCGCACACCTCTAAGTCCTTTTTGATATTAAACAAAAAATAAAGGAAAAAACCAACACCCTAAAGGCCAAAAATAGTACTGTACACGGAAGCTCTATTTCTGTTGCAATACCACTCATGTCTGGTGAAACAAATTGAAAAAAGGAATGTAATTCATTTTCAAGATGCATTCAAGCAATAAATTGGTTGATTACAGTTTGAGAGTCTTGTTTTTACCCCATCAAGCAAAAACTAAAAAGAATTAGCAATCAATAAAAAGGTTACTTGCCCACGGGGGCAGCATGAATGACTCAGCTCAGCAAAAGTGTTTGTATGATTATTAAAACTAGCTGTAATTTGACTAGCGAGAAATCCACTGTGACTTGAGGTCCAAAGTTCAAAGATAGCAGCACCTTTAATGAAGAAACTACGCCAGAAGAGACTCATATTAAACTACTGTATATTAGAACAGCTGTTTATATTCCCTTTGGTATAGTTTTAGCAATTTTATATACTAGATGCACCACCAAAAAAACAACATGGGAAAATCACAAATGTATTCATCTCACTTTTATAAGACCATAGATTACAATTGTTTTCACAGAGTAGAAGAGTTTGGAGCATCAACTGAATAAAACCATGCAAGTGTCATCAGTGAAAACTTTAGCAAAAACAACGTTGAGTAAGAATTTCTGTTGTTATTAAATGTCCAGTTTTTTCTTAGTCAGAAAGCTCTCAGTTTATACAGAGAGTATTCAGGTTTCTCATCAAATATGAGAGGCACGAGTAGACTCTCAGTTATTTAAAAAGAAGAAGATTCTGATAATGAATCTCAAAATTTTCACGCTTTGTTGTCTTTGCCAAACTTAAACAATCTGGCTACATGAATTGGCCTATTGGTGCCTGTGGGCAGAAACATGGAAATAGAAGTAAACAACCATGACGTTGATGACAAACCTGGCAAGACTGCCAAGATTTTCAACCATTGATGTTGACAATTGGGCCGCAAATAAATGTTGAATCCCAGAAGCTGTTTTTTGTTGATCACCAATAATGGTAAATGTATTACATTATTTGTCAGATACTGACTACAATTCATTCCTACAACGTCATACACAACAGTAAGACGTTGGTTTTTTTGCATTTCTTCACACTACTTCTGGGTTTCTTCCCACCGGAACCTGCACCTTCGTTCTTAAAATGGCGTCTACATGAAAAGGCAGCTACATTATTTTGCATATTTTGTAAATTCTTGAATTGCCTCAGAATCGAAACCGACCTCTGATTTTGCAAGCACAATGCTTTGATGACTGAGCTGCAGGAAAGTACAAATCTAAGGTTTAAAAAAATCTAAATCAAACAAAAAAAAATCTCAAAACATGTTTATCATTTAAAAATTACCTTTACTTGCTAGATGAGAGGATATCTAAATAATGTAATTATTCACAATTGACTGCAATAATACCAGATAATTTACAACCAGGCAATCTCTACGGGTTCTACTCCAATCACTAAAGTCACTGACCAACCAGTCGTGATTATCATGCTGTCTACACAGGAATGCTTTCGTAAGAATGCAGTCCTGTACTTTATTTTCTCACTTCGGTCCTGGTTCTCACTTCATTTTCTCACTTCGTTCCCTTTTGGAATGTTTGAAGCAACTACAGTCTAATATTTGATCAAATAGGAAAGCAAGATTGTGGTCAGAATTAGTGCTGGCAGAAAAACACTGTTGTCTGTGAAGGTCCCCAGTGCAGTGATGGGAGCCCTGTACTGTAATGAACAAACTCTTTGTATGATTCTCCTACTTCATACTCACTCT